AGTGGGAACCCTGTGGTTGTCTGACATCTACCATGTTGGTTTTGAGAAATAAAAGCCCATAGAGTGCCTCAACAAAGCATTGTATAACTAACTTATGTATTAAATTGTTCTGCAGAGTAATATACATACCTGATGATTAGTAATAAACTGCTGCTTGGGATATGAACAACATTTTCGTGGCAACAAGGTGAGTCCATATTGTTATGAAGGTCACAGGATCATCAAGTTGATATTCAGATCGACATCCATACAGTAACAAGGTGAGTCCATATTGTTATGAAGGTCACAGGGTCATCAGGTTGATATTCAGGTCAACATCCATACAGCAACAGTGTGAGTCCATATTGTTATGAAGGTCACAGGGTCATCAACAGGTTGACTTGCAGTTCTATACTCATAGACAACATTGTATCAAGTGTTTTTGCTGCTTGTTTTAGTGCAGTATTCCCATCATTACCAGATTAATACTGAAGTATTCCATTATATATTGGTTAGAGTCAAGATGCAGTATGGTAATGAGGTTCAGATGTCAGATATCGGCAGCCATCTCGTTACATATCACTGGACAGTTTTATGGAGTATTTCACGTGTAAGTTATACTTTTAAGACTGCAATACAAAGAAAGATAAATCATTAGGACATTAATATTTAGGATTTTCATGGTTCTAACGAAGGAGGGGAGGTTTTAAAATTTCACGAACCAAGTTTCGTGTAACGATGATGACCAAAGTTTCAAAATATGGAAAAAATGAAAATATACTCAAATTAAGCTTACAAACTGTTTGAAAACTTTCTAAAATTACATATTTGTGGCAAATTTAATTGTATTTTGCCAGAAAAAGTGAAATTCTTAGAGTTCAAAGCCAACACGTGTCGTGGAGGTCAATCGAACTTTCGAAATCTACAAACTGGTTAAAAATACGGAAAAACGCCAGAATAACGCAGAAAAACACAATAATTCTTACCTTTCATAGTTCTCGTGTCCTTATCTCTCTGTTAGATGGAGCACGAGCTAATAAAATGTTTTTGTTCTTGTAAAAACTTCTCTTTATATTTCCACAGATTGACACACGTCGAACTGCGAAGGAAGCAAGATTCAAATGGCACAAGTCACACCAAGAGACTGGATACTAGCATTTTACACAGGGATCCCACAAAAATCTTGATTTTTTGGTGAAAATGCGACGGTTTTCGAGCAATGTTTTTTGCCCAAAACATGAAAAATGACCAGAAAAGGCTATATTCGTACCCTACGGAGAATAAAAACCCGAAAAAACGCTTATTTTAGGCAAAAAACACCATTATGTTAATTAGTCACGTGACCAGTCACGTGACCCTTAATTTT